GGACAGGGTCAGATGTCACCTATGGACAACCGGTGGGTGGGGCATTGGCCTCCTTAGGATCACGGTCACCCAGGGCTAACTCATGATGTCACCCCCACGGCTCCTGGATCTCCTCTCATACCAGAACATGCAGGAGCCTTAGTAATAACGATCAGTCCTGTGGTGAATCTAGCTGGGATGGTAGCACAGATAGCTACACAGGTAAATGGATAACAACCCCTGTTAGAGAACGGCAGCTGTGGGGAGTAGCATAAAACATTAAAAAATAAAACGCAACTCACTGCCACGGAGTCCGTTCATAGCGACCCTACAGGACAGGGTGAAGCTACACCTGTGGGATTCCGAGACTGTAACTCTTTCTGGGAGTGGACGGCCTCGTCCTTCTCCCTCAGACCAGGATGGTGGTTCCAAACTGCTGACCTTGCGGTGAGCAGCCCAGGGTCCCTAGGCAGCGGTATAGATGGTTATGTTCAAGAACGCTAAGAGGAAAAAAAGAGGAGAATGGAGAAAAAGATGCAGAGCTGCGAAATACTTCAATATCATCTGTCTTAGATGCTATGAAGGCTACCGGCAATATTGGTTTGCAAAAATCCTTCTCCGTTGAATTACCACATGGCTGGTCAATGGTGGAAACTTTACAAAAATACCCCCATGCTTTTCCTTTAATTACTACTTCATTCTCAAAAAAGTTATTGATAGCCGTTCACAAATACTGATTGCCACGTTGCAGCTAAAACCACAGCCATGATATCTGGCGACGTCGCTGACTGTGCCAACACCAGCAGCAGCCAAGAAAACGGCAGCTTGGGGTTATCACACAAGCAGACAAAACCACGTAATTCAAAGTGTCCTTGTCATTGGGCAATACTGGCCGCTCCGACGGAGCACATACATGATCCATCCACTGCTATCAAGTTGATTCCGACTCACAGCGACCCATGGCATGGCTGCATCGTGCTCCCACGGAGCTCCTGGTGAGCCTGGACCTGGTGATTAGCAGGCCCCCACTTACTTAGCAGCACCCCTCGGGCTCCCTCTGAAGCACATGAGAAGGTTTAAAAGGTGAATCAGCAGATTCCCCGTCTGAAGGGCCTAAGAGTGATGAAAATAGACAGACGCATGGACACGACGAGTCCAGTGGACTCAAGGACACACAGACAGAGACCACAACCCAGAGACCAGAGGAACTAGAGGGTGCCTGACTGCCACTGCCAGCTCCCTGAAAGGGACCACGTTAGAGGTCCTAGATTCAAAACCACCAGCATCTCTGAGGGAGACAGACTGAGCTTTCCGCTCCCACTGAGGGTGACAGTCTCAGGAAACCACAGGGGCAGTTCCACCCTGTCCTGTGGTCACTGTGTGTCCGTAGGGACGCGGCGGCAGCAGGTTTGGGTTTGGGTTTTCTAGAGAGAATGAGAGAAAGCTGTAGAACAGAACTTGGCATTACGAACGAGGCCAGGCTTCTTGGTGGGACAGAGACTGGTGGGATTCCCAAGACCATGGCCTGGCACCCTTCAGCTCCGTGTTAGGCGAATTCACCACTGAAGACCCAAAGCCTGGACCCAGGACAAAGCCCAGGGGTGGGGACAGACTAAGGGATGGAAACAGGAAGTCCACAGAGGAGGTGGGCTCAGCGATGGTACGCGGAGGGGACAGCAGGGGAGGAGCGAAGTAGCTTAGGTAGAAATTGTTGACTGTAAAACCCAGGATCTGCCCCGTCCGCTTCCACCTAACAGGCAATAAAAGGGTACTTTTAAAAGTAAGTCAGCACAGAGCCTGAACCGTGTGAGCGTGGCGTTACCTGTAATCTGGGTGAGCACTGTTTTGGGTTGTTGTTGGTGCGAATATAGGACTGCTTCTATGGAAATAATTTCTGCTGGAACACTGCACAAAGCGTGTGTAGACAGTCATTTTGGTATCCACCCCCTCTGGTCATGTCACCCGCTTTCTCCTGGTGGCATCCCTGCGGAGCAGTGGGCGCTGGTCTTGGGTGGCAGGGATGGTGACCGACTGGTATTAACTACCGTATGTACTCAAGTAGAAGCCGAGTTTTTCAGCACATTTTTAATGCAGCTTTGTGGTAAAATTAGGTGCCGCGGCTGATGTTCGGGTCAGCCTACACTCGAGTACATAAGGTCCTTCGGGTGGGGTGGGGGGTGGGTAAGGGATGGAAGGGGGCAGGTTCCCAAAACTACCATGGAGTAAATTCTGACTCACAGCACCTAGTAGGAGGAGGAGAGCCACCGAGCATATTTCTAAGGCTGAGGGACCGTGGTGGTGTCATGGGTTGCACGTGGGGCTGATAACCACAAGGCCAGCAGTTTGAAACCACGAGCTTCTCCACGGGGTTAAGATGAGACTCGCTACTTCAATAAAGAGTTACGGTCTCAGACACCCACCAGGGCAGCTCTGCCCTGTCCTGTACGGTCGCTATGAGTCACCAGTGACTGGATGGCAATGAGTGTGGGCTTTAGCTTGAATCTGCCCGAAAGTAGAAAGCCTCATCCGTCCAGAGAGCAGCTGGTGGTTTTGAACTGCTGGCCTGGCTGTTAGCAGCCCAACACATGACCCACACCACCACCAGGGCTCCTTAAGGGTGCTGGTCACTAATGCAGCCAATGGCTGAGCACCTTCCAGTGGCAGAGCTCTCTGCTCACTTGAGGTCTGTCATTTGATTCCTAAAAATGGCCAGTTCCAAGGGCATTGTGTTCTCTTGGTCTGTATTGACCCCCTGAGAGGGAGATGGCAGAGTACCACTCACAATGTGGCCTGCTCTGGGCCCAGTATGTCCAATTTGTACCATCCACAACACGGCCCACGCTGACCCCAAACCCACTGCCATCGCGTTGACCTCGACCCATACCCACCCTGTGGACAGAGTGGGACTGCCCTGCAGGACTTCCAGGCTGCCATCTTGATGGATACCAACTGCCATGCCTCTCTCCTGCGGAGCACCCCGTGGGTTCAAACCACTGACCTTTCCGTGTGTAGCCTAGAGCCATAACCACTGTGCCACCAGGACTCTTCCACGCCAACCCAAAGCACCCTGGAAGGAACGTGTTCAGTTTCACGGTCTAGTGAGGCGGAAGGAGGACAGCAGCCCTGCTTCTCAATGGGACCAGCTGGGACCAGGGGAGGAGAAGAAGAATGGGGACAGGACTTGACCTGCAGCCCACCTGTCCAGGCGACCGTGGGCTGATGCCACAGGAGCCTGCTCAGCTGTGGCCACACTAAATGCACTGTCTGACTGAAAGCAGCTCTTGATGGGGAGAAATGAGACCAGGAGAGATCTCCGAACAAACACCCAGCCCTTGGTGCCAGATGAGGCCTTGCCGTTACAACCAGAGTCCCGCTGTGTGCAGGCTCTAGGCATCACTCTGCTGCTAACTAAAAAGGTTGGCAGTTCGATCCCACCCAGAGGTGCCTGGGATGAAGGGTGTGCTTCTAGAAACCAGCCATGGAAGACCCCCGGGGAGCCCAGTTCCACAGTGACACAGTTGAGGCCGTGGTGAGCTGGGGCCGCTCAACAGCAAATGACGTCCGTGGTCTGTTTGCTCCTGTGCCCGCAGTGCCTACAGAAGTGCCCGGCCCAGTGCAGGTGTCCAGGGAGTACCTGCTGGGCAAGCAGAGCACTGATGAAGGTCTGTGGCCTTCTCCGTGCTCGGAGAAACAGAAGCCTGCAGAAACGGCCACGATGGCTGAGCCAGCCGTACTGTGCCGGGGACTCAGGTGTGTTGTGTGGTGGCCCTAAAGCACCGGCAAGTGTGGGAGCCATCGGCCTCCTTTTTGGGTCAGGGAAAAGAGCTTTAAAGTGCGTGAATGAACTCCACCAGACCAGTGAGACCCGGACCCAAGGGGGTGGACTGAGCCCACAGTATTTTCCAGAGCTCCTCGAGGCGCAGTCAGTGGAGGCCTAGGGTGCCGAGGGAGCTTTGGGGGTCTCCAGACTAGGAAGCGAGACCTGGCCATCCACTTCTGAGAAGCAGCCGCTGAAAACCTTATGGTCTCATCAGTCTATTCGCAGAGCTGCCTTGGGCAGGGCCATGCCGCAGGGCCGGGCACTGTTTCTTCCCGTTGTCCACAGGGACTGTGAGTAGGGACCACGTGGCCAACAGCTAAAGCAACAAGGTGACTGCCATTCAATCCAAGGGGAGGCCCTGGGGGGGTCACTAGGTGACCACGTCCAGATCACTAGCGGGGCGTGGATGGGCCTGGGTTAGGAAACAGTCACCCAACCCCAGCCCACAGTTGCTGACCAGCGAGCAGCCTTCCGGGCTGGCGTTCAGAGGAAGATGCCCCCTGCACTGCCCGCTCCATTGAGAGGGGTGTCGGGTCTGTGCACCTGGACTGCATGCGGTGGATTGGCGTTTTCTAAGCCACACAAACAGACAGCGTGAACCCTGCAGCATGGACGCTGCATACAAAGCGAACGAGCCCAGACTTCCTTAGTGGACCCGGCCTTTAGCTCCCCATTCGAGGAGTGGTGTCGGGGCAGGCAGGGGAGGAGAGGCCAGCCCTGGCCCCACCACCCGTTCACTCACATGATCTTTACAGAGATGGTTGAGAGGGCCTCTGTCCAACAGCAAGTGTGCGCACAGGACTGTGCAGAGTTGCGGCTTGCACGTGGAGGAGCCCTGGTGGCGCAGCAGGTAAGCACTTGACTGCCAACCAAAAGGCCTGTGGTGTGGACCCGCCAGCCACTCTGTGGGAAAAAGCTGTGGCGGACCACCTCTGCGGGGCAGCCTGTCGGGCAGCTCCACTCTGTCCCCCATGAGCCAGGGTAGACTTGAGGGCAGGCGGGGTGAATGGGAATCTACAGGAAAGGGTGTGCTGTACAAGGTGGGGTTGGGTCATCCCCCAACACCTGTGGCCCCTAAGTGCCCCTTGGCGTGCATTCTGGGGTCCCCTGTCCCCGTGTGCCCAGCAGCACACCCTCCTCCCAGTGAGATGCAGCAGGTCCCACTTGGGGCCTCTCCCTGGACTGTGGGAGGACCGCTCACCTGCAGTAGCAGCAGCAGCAGCAGCAGCCTGGGGTGCTCCTGGAAGCCCATGCCCAAGCCAGGATGCCTAGGCACAGTCGGCACAGTGGGTGATGCTGGGTCCCACCTGAGCCTTACCTGGAGCCGGGCTCTGCTCCACAGATGCTGGCTGTACCTGGCAATGACTTTTATCCCCTTTCTGGGCCCTGCCTGGGTTTATAACTGGATTCCAATCTGTTCTCAGGAAGGGTGTGGGAGAAATAAAATAGGAAACCGGCGGGGCCCTGACCTCAGCCAGGTGTCACCTGCTCCCAGGAAAGTGAAAGCGGTGGGGCCACTTTTGTACTGTTGCTTTGGTTCCCACTTTCCAGAGTCGGGCCAAGAATCTCTATCCAGAGCAGGAGTTACTCCTCCCTACGGCCTTGCCCACCTTGCTTGCTGAACGTGGGGACGCCCTGAAGCACTTGCTAATGACGATCCGGGATAGCAGACTTCGTCATGGATGACAACTCGGTGTGAAGAAGACCCCAATCTGCACAGCTGGACCTATGCAACACATTATGAGAGCCGGAGAAGAGACCGAAGTTGTCCAGGACTCCATCTTGCTTGGGTCCACAATCAATGCTCACGGAAGCAGCAGTCACGAGTTCAAAAGATGCACACTGCGTTGCATACATCTGCTACACAGACCTCTCTGGAGTGATGAGAAGCAAGGGTGCCACTTTGAGGACTTGGGTGCACCTGACTCCAGCCACCGTATTTTCAATTACCTCTGTGTGAAAGTTGGACCCTGGTTAAGGAAGATCGAAGAAGAACAGAGCATCTGAATTCTGGTGCTGGTGAAGAATATTGAAAGTACCATGAACTTCCAAGAGGTGATTTTAAAAATCTGCCTTGGTAGAGTACAGCCAGCCAGTATATTCCTTAGAGGCAAGGATGGCAAGACTTCTCTTCACAAACTTTGGGCATTTTGTCAGGAGAGGCCAGTCCCTGGAGAAGGACCTCTTCCCTGGCACAGTGGAGGGGCGGTGAAAATGAGGAAGGCCCTCAGCGAGATGGGTTGACGCAGGGGCTGCAGCGATGGGCTCCAGCTTAAGAGCAATTGGGAGGGTGGCACAGCACCGGGAGGTGTGCTGTGCTGCGCTGGGTGGGGTCCCTGTGGGTGGGAACCTAACGACAGCAGTAGGCCTTGAGTTCTTACACAACAAAGAGCCAGAGAGCCACTCCTCAAAGGAAGAGTCCTTGTAAAGGAAGAGAAAGAAAGAAACCCACAGGAGAGACTTTCCATCACACCGAGGGATTCTTTGTACCCCCACCACGGTCCAGGACTTTGGGGCTGCCTGTGTGATTTCCACCAAAGACTTTCTTTTGGCCCCACAATTTTACTGGGAGCCAAGAGAGAGATCTTGTTCCACAGTTTAATCACATCAAGCAGTATTGCACAAGTGCTACCGTAATCCGTTTCAAAACACTTTCTTCCTTCTTCCTTCTTGAGTTCCTTGAATCTGCTCCCCTTTAACACCTCCCCACCCCCACCCCGGAACCCTTATTCTCCTTGTTGTCTCCGTAGGCTCCTCCATCCTGTGTTTCATCTACTGAAGAACATAGAACAAAACTTCAACAGGGAAAAATACATCAGAGACAAATCCCAATATGGCAGACAGAGAGAATGTTGAAAACCCAATCAGGCCCAACTCACATCAGAGGGGCATCAAGTGCTAAGGTTTGGTTTGGTTTGGGGGCAAGCTTGTTTCTTTCGTTCAAGTGATAAGGTTTTAACCATTCAAGTCGGGTTTGTCATTTTGATCTTCGTCATCTCTCCAGTGTGCTCCGTTTAGTAACTAGTTTCTTCCCATCCCTCCATTATGGAGAAAGGGAATTCACGGGAGGCCAATTCCCTGTGTGGATCTCACCAGTGCATCATGGGCTTCCACTGTCATCCACAGCCTCCTGCAGATCAGAATCTCACAAGTCAGGCTCTGGTACTATCCCCTCCTTCCGGAGCCAAAGGCAGGTAATAAAAACCCTAGATCCAGGAACGGGTTTGGGACTCGCACTAAATCCTAGTTCCATTTGAAGAATAATTCATTCTTTTGTTTTTCAAACAATATGTTTTTTAATAGTTAAATTGAAACTTCATCCACATATCATACAGTACAATAATTCGACCATATCAAGAAAAGTTGTACAATCTTCACCACAATCAATTTTAGAACATTGTATTTTTTCCCTGTACTCGTTATTCATGTAACTGTTTTTTCAGTTTGGGCAAAAATATACACAACAAAATAGTCTCCAATTCAACAGCTCCAATTCTACATGTGTAATTCAGCACCGTTGATTATACTTTTGGGTTGTACGACACTCTCCAAATTGTCCCACCACCACGAAAATGAACTCAAAACCTCTTCCTCCTTCTCCCATGGCCACCATCGGTCAAATTCGGTCTCTTTCTTTCTTTCTTTTTTTTAAAGTAGTTTTCTTGATATAATATATTCACATACCATACACTTCCATAGTTAAACTTCTTCTAAAAAGAGTTTTATATACATCATCACAATCGTTTCCTCCCCTCTCCTGCATCCACTGATTGCCACCCCATGCCTCTCCCCCTCTCTCTTCCCCCCAGCCCATTCCTGATGAGCCATTGCACACAGTTACTGATTTTATGCATCCACTCCTTCTGTGCTTCCTAAACCAGGAGACCCAAGAGAAACAACAAAAAATGAAAACAAATTGAAACAGAAGGAGGAAAACAATAATAATAATATAAAGATAAAAATCAATACTGAGAAAGAAAAGACCACCGACAATATTTTAAGAGCCAGAGAAGAAATTTCTGTCTTGGAATAAGTGAGAAATATTTGAGCACAGTACAAATTTAGGTTGGGTCAAGAGAGGTCAACTCACCAAGTTACATATTATATCATAGTCCAATCCACCATAATCAAGTTTACGAGTTTACATTGCCTGTTTGAGTCCCTCACCAGTGGCCAGAGGGGATCTGCCAGAGGCCCAACCCTGCCAGACAATGCAGATGGATTTTGAGTTTCCATCATTCTCCATGGCCTTCTACAAATTGGGTATTCACAATTTAAGCTCTGACACTTATTCCTTCGTCATATTTGGATTTTGTCATCTTTGGATCACACAGGCTGGTGTGCTGCTTCTGTGTGGACATAATCGATGCCTCACTTGGATACCTGCTTGTTTGACTACAAACCTGGAAGACCCCCAGCCACTATTCCAGTTGATGGCTGGGCACCATCTGCTTTCTTCACCACACCTTGCCGTAGCCCCTTATCTTCGGTGATCTCTTCATGAAGGTGAATATAGAGCAGGGCCATGACATAAGAACTGTTCTTAGATTAGGGCTGCAACTTCATGGGATCCCAGAATCTATCTGCCAAAGCCTTTCTTGAGCTCCATCTGCACAGTGAGTACAATTCAGAGGCATGCTGCTGGTGTAGTGGTTACACGTTGGGCTGCTAACTGCACGGGGAGTAGTTCAAGACTAGGAGCCGATCCCAGGGAACTGAGATGAGGTTTTCTGCTCCTGCAAAGGTTTACAGTCTTGGAAACACATGGAGGCTGTCCTGTCCTGTCCTACAGGGTCACCATGAATCAGAAGGCACTGGACAGCGGAGCATTGGGTTTCATTTTGGTTTTGAAAGTTGTCAGGAAGATGAGCGGGCGGGGCGCTCCCTGGGGCAGCATCTCTTTGCCCAGCTGAGCGGGTCTTTGCTTTCAGATAACCAGCTGGGATCCACCCTATTGCTACTTAGAGTTGCAAAGAGCAAGCCTGAAATCAGAGCCTGGGTGGCATCAACAGTGACAGGAGACCTTGGCACATTGCCTGGTCATCACCTTACCTGCCTGCTGGGTGGCAAGCTGACTGGCACCTCAGCCATCCCGGAGGATGGAGCAGAACAGGTCCACGGGAGTTCAGGAGCTGCCACCTTTCTGAGAAAGCCACTACATCTTCTGTTGGCAGAGTAAGCTAGTGGCTTTGAACTGCTGACCTTCAGGTTGGCCTCGGGGTGCTTTAAGCCTATGTCACCAAGGCTCCATTGTTATCACAGCTTCTTCTTTAAAAGGGTGGTTTGCAGGCTTTCTCACCTCAGCCTCTGCCAACTGTGCCATGAGGCTCTGTGGCGCTACTAACTGGCAGGCACCATCAGTGTGGTTTTAAGGTTCTTGGGGATGTAGGAAACACATAGTGCCAAGGTGCCTGCTTCCAGAGTGGACAGTTCTGGTCCCGAGCAGCTGCCTGAAAAATGTGAAGTCGGTGTTTCGTGAATGTCAGGTGAACTTAGACCACATTGCAGACTTGCAGAGGGGTGGGGGGAGAGGCATGGTGGCACCGTGGTAGAAGCCCCCACTGCTAGTCCAAAGGCGGTGTTCTAACCCACCAGTATCTCCGTGGGAGAAAGCGGTGGCGGCAGGCTTCTGTAAAGCTGACAGCTGGAGAGGCCATGGGACTGATTTACCCAGCCCTGTAGGGGCTCCGGTGGCACCGTGGTTAAGTTTGGGGCTGATAATTGCAAGGTCAGCCGTCCTGAACGACCAGCCCCTCTATGATAGGAGATGAGGATTTCTGTTCCCATGATAGTGAGAGTCTCAGAAACTCACAGGTCGATCCTGTCCTGTCGGGTTGCTATGAGCTGGCATCGACTTGGTGGCAGTGAGTCTGAGGGTCTGTGTTTAAGAAGGTTGCTAAAGAGCCCTGGTGTCACATGGGTTATGAGTTGGGCTTTGAACTGCAAGGTCTGCAGTTCAAAACCACCAGCTGCTCCTCAGGGGTAAGATGAGGCTTTCTGCTCTTGTAAAATTTTATCCCGCGGAAACCGCAGGAAGCAGCTCTATTCTGTCTTACAGGGTAGCTGTACATGAGAATTTATGCTCTAAGGAGCCCTGGGGGAGCATTGGCAGTAGTCCAGCTCCAAGGTAGGCAGTTCAAGGTCACCAGTTTTCCTTGGAAGAAAGATACTCAAACTCACTCACCATCAAGGCAAGTTGACACATAATGACGCTATCGGACAAGGTAGAACCACCCCAGTGGGTTTCCAAGA